ACAGCGGAAGCGGTAGGCATTCGTCTGCACAATCCCCTCTGTGGGCCCAGAAACAATTTGTGCGAGCGCTCAAGCTTCCCAGGCCCATCCCACCCACACACCGCATCACCAGTAATCTCGATGATCGGATGAGTGGACAAACAAACGTGATCCTGGTGAATCCGATTTCCGGTCTCACGATGAAATCGTTTCTAGTAATCTGTGATTTTATCTTGTTTAATTTACCCAAGACAATCTATCGATTAGTAAATTTCAGTGCTCATAGTAATTTTGGAGCTCGTTAGTGGTAAGAACTGAAACGCTTGGGCTCATATTTGTCTAATGATCTGTGCGAAGTCCCTTTAGACTATCAAAAATACTGTCAGTTTGCTTGCTATCTATTCCAAATTCGCATAGGATCAGTTTGTTCATCGAGAAACTCTTCAATGCTATTTCAATCATCCGTCGCCACTGATTTTTATCTTAGTGTTCCAATTATCTCTAGTCTGTGCGCGCAACACGGCAATTTAATTCGGTTCAGGAAATGCAAACATCCGGTTTTACAATCACATTTATTCCATTTTTTCTTCCGATCGCCGCATGCCCGCGGATCGGATTGAATTAAAGAAACGTTCATGTTTTTCGGGAGCCTCGTTGCGTGTTTCTATCAGCTTGCTTTTTCGTCGATGCCGATATGCCACAACTCTTGCCACGGTAACACATTGTGCTCGGTTTTCTTGTAAATTTGTTTTTCGTTCCTCCGATTTCGAGGAATTTCTGTTGTACCACCTTTCAAGCAGCAAGTTAACCAGAAATTCCAAGCCGTCCGTCATTCCACGCCACTTGTAATACTTTCGGTTTATGTCATTATCAATATTTACTTTGCAGGGTTTCTCACCCCGCTGCTCCATAGAGAGATATTGTTCTTGTGCAAAGAAGGTCACAGGTGGGAAAACCTACGGATAGCCGAAGAATGATGATTCCGAGACTAATAAACTTTATTACCAGGGCAAGCTAGACTCTGAAATAGAAGCACATGCGGTTATTGGAGTAATGGTTGGTAGTTTATTTAGAAATGGCACTGCAGCGTACAGATTTATGGGGCAATGTGCAATGTTACATCATTGACTGAAATGACCCAGCTACCAGGGGATTTGCCAGGCCGGAAGCACTGCTGAGTAGAACTTTCAGTTGCACTTTTAGCCGAAGGAAAGGTGTCCACTGGCAACGGGTGATTACAGCTCACAAGCCCATCCGCAATCCTTCCTGAATCGTTTGTGTTCGTGGCGAGGAAAACCACCGCTTTCGCTGTTCGAGAGAAGCAGGTCACGGTTATCAGTCCTGACAGGATAGAATTAACGGACGATGACAAAACAAATGGTCTGGATGATCGCGTCAGGTTTGAGTTTTCGGGGGACATGCGAAGAAATCAAACGTTTCAGTCCGATAAAAGGAAAACCGGCCACTTCGACTGTGAAGAAATACAAAGAGCGTTTTCCTCAAACCGGATCGATTACGAGGAAGACAAACGGGCCCTAGAAAGGAACCAGGGACAATGGAGCAGTTGAGAAATAATGTGAACATACTTGCATCTCCAAATCTCTCTATTCGCGAATGAGCTCGGGAGCTCTCGCATGGTTATTCGACCAAAAACGAGTGTTATCTCATTTTTCCTTCTACCCGCAAAATATTTTTCCATCGGGTAGCAGTGAGGAAATCGGATTAGTCGAAACGTGTGGAATTCGTGGAATGGTGTGAGCGCACCTCGCTTACAAAGCCATTGTTGACTGAAGATGAAATCTGGCCGGATGAGGCCGCTTTCTGCCTTCATGGAGGGACTCACAAAAGAAATCAGGTCTACTTGGCACAAAATAACCTATGCGTTATAATGAAAACAAAAACAGTTCCACCCCCTTAGTAATTGTTTGGTTTCGGGTGGGTGACATGATGTTGCTGGATCCATGTTTCTTTGATCACAGGGTAGTGAATGTGTCTGTTTTATGCAGAGCCTGAGCAATGATCGATTATATTTTTAATAGAATTCCGTCCTTGGTGGATCTGAGAAATAGAGACCCTTGTTTCAATTGCATCGTCAGACATGAAAAGAAATAAGCAGAGTGTAGCCATGAGCGTCACAACTGATTTCTCCAAAGATACCAGATTTTGAGCTAGAGGCGCCTTCTAGTATCCACCTGAAAATGACACTAATCGTATTTCTCATTGTAATTTTTATTTCACAAATCTGCTACTTCATGATTGTGTGAGACACGTGTTGTTTGTAGTGTGTGATAATCCTTCGGAGTCCATCTTCAGATGCAGTCATTACTTAGTTCATCCAGTCAACCGTCAAGTTGGGTCAGCTATTCACAGACTGCATTTAAAAACAACATCTCAACAAGCTTGATCTGGCGTTCCCGATCAATGTTGGTGTGAACACGGTAGCGAGCTGGTGAAAGACGCACGCGTTCGTTTGAGGAACAGTGGGCCGTTGATTACGCGTTGCTGATGAGTTCTGCATCTAACAAATGTCGAGTCTGCTGCTTCTAGAGTGTGTGGTCGAGTGGAAGAATCGCGGACTTTGCTTGAGGATGCAGTCTTACGAATGATCAGTG